TTAGTTCTTTACGAGATTTTTGTTATTTCTTTTGATTTGTACTTTATTTTAATTTACTCTCATAATAAAGATATTGCGAAACTACCGCACTAAAAAAAAAAAAAATTTTTATAAATAATTTATCTATTTTTATATATAATTTATCTATTTTAGTAATTATTTATGCATATTTTATGCTGTATAATATGTGCACACAAAAATTTAATGTGCATATATGCATATTGTACATATGAATTTTATATATTAATTATGATTAATTTATTCTTTAAATTGTAAAGTAGATAAATTTACCTACAAACATAAAAAAAAGTATTAATTTTTTAATAAAAAATAAAATATTATATAACTATTATATAAAAAATATAGTTTAATATATATTTTATCAACTTTATTAGAAGAAATTTTAATTTATTAAAAAGTTTTATAAATAATTTAATTTTTAAAATTAAGTTTTGAAAATTTTATTATAATAATGTTTTAAAATTTTTCTTAAAATTCATATGTTTGCGAACTAATTGAATCACTTTATTAATAAAAATCATAAAATTTCTTAGTAAATTATAAAAATTATAATAGTTAAAATTATTCTTAATAATAAATTTATAATATTCTATTATGATTAATATTGTAAAAGTAAATATTAATAAGATGATTAAAGGTCAATAATAAATTTTTTAATTTATAATTATAAATTTTTAGCTTATAAGTAATCTTAATTTATTTATTATATAATTAAAAAATATAATTTACTATAATATTATATATATTTATAAAAAAAATATTTTTTAAAAATTTTAATTTTCTATAAAAGTAAATCAGAAGGAAATTTATATTAAATAAGTAGGCAAATTTGCCTATAAACCTCTACAGTTTAAGGGATAATTATAATTTTTGTCAAATTTATAATGTTAATTTAATTTAAAAATTTAATAATTTTAAAAATCATATGTATTACTATTATTATATAAAAATTTCATATTATAATTATTATAATAAATTTTTATAATATATAATGGATTTATATGTCATCAATATAAAAACTTTACTAATACTGGTTTAACTTAATTATTGTATTTAATTAATAAAATGATTATATATTATAAATTTTATAATTTTTTATAAATATAAATGTTATATAAATTTATAATTGTTATAATCTAATAATTTAAATTTTAATGGAATTGGAATGGATTAAACCCAGTAATCTAATGGTTTAATTGTTTCAAAATCTATTAATCCAATAAGTCAACATTAGTTGTCAGAGAAAAAATTAATTTTTGTTTCCTAAATGGATCATGATGATGGTTTAACAAGATTATATTGTGTTATTCACCTTGTATTAAGAAGACGAATAGCATATGGTACACCAAATTAATAAATCAATGCTGGAGAGAATTAATGATGTAATCAAAGCAAAAGGTGATGGTATGAATATTTGGATGAATTTTTTTAACTAGCATTATTTAAAATTCATGATATTTATAAAGTTTTCTTTTAATGTTAATTGTTAAACACCCCGATTTCAGTGAAGTAATTATTAAACGGGACTGGGTGTATTATAATTGTTTTGAATGTAAATAGTGAATTTCATAATAAAGCAATGTAATTTTTATCTCACCTAAGTAAGTAAATTGGATTAATGTTATTATTTTCAAACAATAAACAAGTTTCTCAATAGTTTACCTTATCTATTTATGTCCAGTTTAACTTTAATCAAAGGTTTGTTTTTACTCGTTAGTTCGATGATATTAAACAAAAAATGAACTCTCTGCACGTGATTACAGAAATCAATAAATCAATAATAAAATCGCCAATGAACTTGCAAGAAACAAGCTCTTTAGTGAGATATCAAGGTACGTGTAATTATAATATCCTCTGGCTAACTCTTAAGAGTCGTTCTAATTAATCATACACAACAGCTCAACTTCGAGAGAGAGTGCAACTTCAAGAGAAACATTAAGCTCTGTTGCCAAGACTAGGTGAATAAAATTGCTCGTGTAAATTATGATTATAAATCCTTTTGGCTAACTCTTTAGAATTGTTCTTAATTTATCATAATAGCGATGCCTCCTAATTCTAATGACATATTGGAAAAATTTCGAAATTTGTGGTGGACCGATGGGAATATACACCCGAGTGCAAACTGGGATGAAGCTTCGTAAGTAATTTCTTGCCTCACTGCCTTCGTCGTTTGCATGTGATTAACATCTGTTGTCGCTTCTTGGATAAGGTTACCCTATTTATTGAAAAGTGATGTTGATTGGGAGAAATATTCAGAGCGAACTGATATGTATAATGTGCATGGAAGATGGGAGTGGATAAATGGAAATGTTTGTATGAATTGCCTTTAGGGCCTCATGAGGTTTGTTCTAGAGCAATCGAAGGTCGAGTTCGTTTGGCAGATTCACAAGAAGAGCTCATTAGTTCAGGATCTACATGTAAGTATTTAACTTTTTTTTATTATTAATAATGCTTCAGATAACTCGAACATGCTTTCAATTATTGAATAAAAGGTACAAAAGCCGGTAATAAAGGAAAAGAAGCAGACGGATCTTTTTTACCATTTGACAAACCTGACTTAAATTCAAATGGACGTGAAGGCCCTAATTCTGTATGTAAAGCTTTAAATATTTTCTATTATCATAATCAATCAAATTTCTAATATAGGTGATTACATTTTTAGCTTTTACCGTGGCCCAATCTTGTAATCGAAGTCGCTTCCTTGGAATCAGAAGCACATTTATTAAACGCAGTAAAAGATTATTGGCTCTGTCCAGGTAGAGCTCATGATGCAATTGCAGTAAAATTAATACGATCTGATACAATTATTTCAAAATTGAAAGTAAGTGACATAATTTTTTGGATTAGTTTCTTTACCATCATTTTTACGATTTTTATTTTTGGCAGGTATGGCATTTTTGCAACGATAAAAGGACACAGAGTGGGGAATTAATACCTGTTTCGGTATGATATATTATTATAAAGTGGATTTATAGAAAATGATTTTAATATACTTATATTTAAAGGAATTTGAATTCGAAACCATTGATGATAAAGGAAAATTTCTTATTCAGCCTCAACAACATACTATTGATCTTAAAATAAAGTGCCTTTTTCATGGGATGCCACCAACTTTTCAAATACCTACATCAATATCCGATCCTCTTATCATAGATTTTTATTATGTCTTACGTTCTATGAAAAATGTACTTAAGGTTTCATAAAAAGCATCTTTTATTTTTTTCTGATATCACAAACTGATAAAAAGTTATAATAATGCAGTCAAAATATATAAAGTTCTTTGTGTTAATCTTATTTGGATGATTTTCAATGGAGATCTTATCGAACTGTTCCTGATTACGAATTAATGATGCTTTCTTTAAGATCCATAATTCGAAACAATTAAGCCGGATTACCGCAAAATAGCGTTTTTGTTAGTGATTTTCCAATCAATCCGGCAAAGGTAAACAGGACAAATTTTCGGGCAAAAACCGGTCTCGATCAAAATCAAATACACACATTAAGAAAAAAAAAAGTGAGCTGGGTTAGTTTTTTTATTTTTTATTCTTTTATTTCTTATTAATCACCTTTTTTTATGTTTCCTTTTTTTTTTATTTTTCTATTGTACACATGATAATCTTTGTATTTATCAGACAGATCGAAATTAACCAATAGTGATCAGAAGTTTTTTAACATGAGAATCATGAACGGCGCTTGGGATTTTCAAATGACCGATTTCCTTGATGCGATCATCTTTACGTAATTCCTACGATGATTTTCGGAGAGGATCATCACCACGGATTTTATTAAGAAAGATAATTCTATCAAATTATTCATCTGTACATCATTATTTATCGAACTTTCCGCTCTATAAGTTAAGTAAGCCTCCAGGGAGTCCGCTAATCCAGATTTTCGTGATACATATTAAATCACGTGATAATAAATCCCAGAAACTTATATTAGAGCCTATCTATAACTATTTATATTTTAAATAAAATAATTGTCCGGTCTTGTGACTTACCGCCATTACTAAATCATAAAAATAACGATTTAAATCTTTATAAATCTTGGTTGATTTATTGATATTGTTGATTAGGTATTAAATTTAATAAGAACGTTTTTAAATATTACCACATCGTTACTTTTAGTTTTTGAATTGTTACAGATATCTGAACGATTAAATTTTAATTTTTTTTTTTTTTTTTGTCTATGTTAATTTTTTAAGAACAAGTAAAAATTTATTTATTTATTAAAAAAAAATACAAAAAAAAAATAATAATAATATAAATACAGTACTTTGTCGGCTGCTATATGCGCATGGCATACTTTCAACTAATTTAAGATTTGCAGGACAGAATTCTAATTCTATTTTAGCAAAAGTCGATTTTTTGATTATGAATGGATTCAGACGTTCTTGGTTTCAAAATCTCGGATTTTTGCTTAGAATTTTAGAATGAAATGGAACTGAATGCCAAATCATCATAAAATTTGCAACATATTGTTATGATTTAAATTATATCTAGTATCATAAGAATCATTTTTTGTTAGATTTTACCTAGACATGAGTATTACAAGCAATATTATACATCACGCTCACTCTTTATATAATAGATGATAATTTACATTTTAATTATAATTAATATAAGCTCTAATGACATTTCAAAAACAATTTATAATGAAATAAAGCCAAAATGATAATTCTTTAATGCATTATAAAACATGAAAAATAAGTTGATTAAATAAAATTTAATGTTTCACTATTTGAACTAATTATGGTCATATTGGGAAAGGGTTTTAATTTATTTAATAATGTGATGATATTAAGCAATTTAAATTATTAAATATTACAAGTAAAATAATATAATATTGCATTACAATAAAGTCTACTTTATTTACTCACATACCGAAGAAAAATGAAATAAATTATTTCAGCATTCAATAGTGAAAAAAAAAACATCTCTTTGGTATCTTAATTATTATGACGTACCTCGAATAACTAAATGATTATTTATTATAATAAGATATCTTTATTTTTGTTTGAGTTCGATAAAGATTTCTCAAATCCTTAAAGCACGCAATTAACAAGAATATTTGAAATTAAACTTCAATGATTCTATGCAATAATATAGACTACAAATAACGAGTATAACGTTCGTTGATGGAGATTGATCTCTGTTCAAGGAAATGAAGTCATTACGTGTCAAACGCAATTTCTGCGCCTCAATTTCATGTAAAGAATACGTCATTTATTAATATTAGATCACATCGCGGCAGCACATTTCCCTTAAACTTACGAACCAAAAAAAGATGACGACTCTCAAACGAGTTGAACAAATGTGCGATAACGCGATGAAAATGTTGAATATTTCTAAAGAGAAGTTGGATAGACTGGAGGAACTGAGGAAGGGAACGGCACAGCCTATGTGGAATGGCGAGCAGGTAAACTTGGAGAGCAAAGAAGAAAGTCTGGAGACGGAGAAAAAGATTTGGTTTGACCAGTTAGCAATGCTACAGGCGAAACTGATGGAATATACTCAATCAGGTAACGACTCGGGTGTTGGGGACATAGAGTAGTGTGTACATAGGGTAGAATAGACCTGTTGTACAAGAAATTTGCAATATCTCATCACTTATTTTTATTTGATCAGGAAAAAGAAAATTGGATTTGGATGATGGGAATGAAGGCGGAGACCGAAAAAAAGGTAAACGAACAGGTGCGTTTATAACGTCTTGATCTAAAAACTTCAATATTTTAACAAATAATTTATTTCTTAGTTCCGGAACTTACTAGTGCTCAAATAATTATGAAAAGAATAATGGAACTTCCAGAGGATCCTGATGTTTACTCGAATCCGAAAAATTCCCTTTCATTACCATTTCCATTCCTTGGCTCAAAAAAACCAGTAGAAAGGTTTGCTTTTAACGATGATGAATTTTCCTTCACCTTCATGGGAAGAAGGGAATTCAAGAATGTTTTAGATGAAATCAACAAACTTCGAGCAACTTATTATATGGAAATGTTTATTTATGGAACCATGGGGTATGGGAAGTCATATATTCTTTCAGCAATCACGTGCTACCTTTTCCGTGTCAAAAAACGTGTAGTATACCTTCCTGATTGCCGTGCCCTATCATTGGATCCTGTGGATTACATTAAGTCGGCCCTATTCCTTACTTATGTAAATGACCTTGAGGAAATAAATAGAATTAGTTTATGTGAAACACTTGGTGATATCGTAGATTTTTTTAAATCGGTAGATGAACGTTTATATTTTATTATAGACCAACTGAATGCTTTGGATGGAAACGATACTGGAATTACCCCACAAACAAAAATCGAAATTAGAGAAATTATCAATAAAATTCGTAATAAACATTTTTGTATTAAGAGTGCTTCAGCAAATAACGAACGGGCACGTCAATATAAGAAGCAGACTGATGAGATTAAGATGGCTCTTTATGGAGGGCTTAAAGAGGTAAGACTAAGATCAATGATTAAGGTGCTTTTATTATAGATATTCTGCTTGGTAACATAAAGTTCAATTTAGGATGAGATGTTAGAATGGTGGGTAAGACATGGACATCTTTTAGATCATGATGAAAGGGAAAATCAAATGAAAGAAATTGAAGATATCACTGGCTGTGTTCCACTCTTCTTAAGATACTTCCTTGAATCTTATAATGATAATAGTGACGAAACTTTTGATTTCAGAAAGAACCATTTAATTGAGAATTTAGAAAGTAAAATAAAACCTAATTTAGATCAATTTTCATTAAATAAATTCGTAATAGAATACGATCAGAATCGGTATGTATAGTAGTTTGGTTAGTAATTGGTAAGCACTTATATTCTGACTTCTTTCTGTTTGAATAGTTATGTTGAGGTGATGACATCGTTCATAACAAATACTAAACTTCCTATCCATAAAGAAGACGATTATGACCATCGTTACTTTTATGTTAAAAGAAAAACTCGTTATGACAGATACGAAGTTGGTCATTATATCTGTGGGCTGACGCGAAATTATATAGCTGAATTCTTATATGAGAAATCCAGAATGAATGTATTTACGGATGTAAAGTGGATTAATAGCATGAAAATGTTCAAGGACAATCCGTCAGTATTAGGATTCTTTATGGAAAAAGCATGCATCGCTAGCATTTCTAAATATGGATTGATGGTAGATAAATCATCTTTTAAACCTGACAGAACGGAGTTTTTTTCCAGCGAAGTTGAAATTGCTGTAAGAGAGAAAACATGTACATTTTTTATACCATATATTTGGAATCATGATGCTATTGATGGATTACTACTCTTACACAAAAAAGAAAAGAAAAGTGTTGATTCTGTTCATGTTATTCCAATACAAGTTACAATTACAAAGCCCAGCAAACATTCTGATTCCGAGCAAAAGTTTTTTGACGGTGCTTGGAAAAAATTGAAATTAGCAAATTATGGTGAAAATGTGAAAGTATCATTTGTATGGATTACGTGCAGAAGTGAAGATAGCAGAACGATTGAACAAAATTTCAAGAAATTACGTGAACAAATTATTGAAGTTAACCCCAGTTATAATAGGGAGGTAATCGCATTTCGAAATGTCAACAAAGATATTGATGATGAATTTCTTTTTTCAGATCGTGATATTTGAGTCTTTGCCTAATCAATAATTAATAGCTAGACTTATCAAATAATTAACAATAAAACTTTTTCGTCAAATTGCAAATTTTTATGCTTTCCCGTGTAATATTAAGATCTTTGTTTTTTTTTTTTATCTATAATGGTAAATTAAAAAGCAATACAGTTGTTCAAGGGAGGAAGTAATGACTTTGCTCCTAAAATGCTGAACTTTTTTAATTTATGATATACTGTGCTGAATTTTGTAAGAATTGCGTTTATAAAACACGTTGCAATATTAGTAATATATTTTATTTTAACTACTATATATTGTTAAACCAATAAATGTTATGATTTCTTCTTGCTTGTCTTTGAATGATTCTTAAATATTTCTTTCAATAGCATTTATACATTCATAAGAATTGATAAATCAACATTATCATTGGTTGATTCTTCAGAGAACGAATCTTTATTTTGGTCTAAAAAAATTAAAATGTCTTTTGTATTCATTATTATAAATTTTAGTCTAGCTAAATCGAGTTAAACACGCGTTACTAATAAATGTAATACAAAAATTAGAATCCGAACCATAATGCATTTATTTTTTCAAACATAATTATTTTATACGCTTATATTTATTAATACACATATTACTATTACATCGCATACATTATTATAGTTTAATAGATTGAAAAACAAGCAAGTTATTTTAATTCCTCTTCAGGTACAGGTCCCAAGAAAAAGCTGGTTAGGGTACATAAAACGAGAGCCCCGGATGAAAACCATAAACAGGCTGCCAATGAAATATAGTTAAATAATATCCCACCAACAATCAGCCCAATTAACCTTCCTAAAGCATTTGCCATATAATAAAATCCAACATTCATGGCAACTTTATCTCTATGACAATATGCTAAGATAAGGAACGAATGAATTGAAGAATTTACCGCGAAAATAAATGCAAAGGTAAATAATCCAACAATAAGTAATACAACCAAAGCTGTACGTTGTGTTAAAACATTGATAAATTGAAGTCCAAGTGCGATTCCAATCATTACGACTAGAAGAGCAATGGTGAATGGAACAAGAAGTTTTCCTGACTTTATTGGATAAATTCGAATTGGTTTTAAAATTAATTGAGGTGTACTTGATTGAATGGCGCCATAAAACATCACCCATCCTGCTAAGAATGCCCCTGTGGCGAGATATGACCTAAAATAACAAAAAAAGTTACTTAATGCATAGTTGATTTTGTATCACAACCAATACAAAAAAGCGTGCCTACCATTCAACTGTACCTCTCAAATACAAGGGTATTGGAACTTCAAACCACAAATCTCGTGATCCAAATAAAAACATCCTGGCTAATGACAAGATATTTACATCTCTTCCCTAAAAGTTGAAAATTATTAATATAATTGTAAATTTTGATAATTTTCATTAAAATTTAAAGTACCTTATTAAAAATTTCTTTAAGCGTCAACTCTTTTTTCGATTTGCTGACGGCCAGGGTACGATCAAGAAAAAACCAAGCGAGTGGAATTACGATCAAATTCATTACCAATAAAACTGATAAAGCTGGTATATATCCCGTAAACCTTAACAAAAAAGCTCCCCAAAAGAAGCCTGCACCTTTAACCGAATTCTTTGCACCTGTAAGCCAAGCCACCAATTTAAAAAGCTTTGATTGATGTGCACCTTCTTCTTTTGTTACTAATTTAGTTACAGACTTTCCTCCTAATTTTACCATATCTTTAGCAATACCGCTAAACCCTTGAGCTATAATAATATATATTATTACAACAGTTTTACTCCAACTTGATTGTAAACCACAAAGTATTCCGATTCCTATTACTTGCGATAAAAGTCCTACGAGAAGACAAAATCTTAAACCTAGTCGAGATCCAAGAATACCGCCAACTAGATTTGTAACCACACCAAAAAATTCATATAGAGTAAACATTAAAGATATTTGCAACGCCTAAAGATTACTTAAGATTGTTAGATTGAATTTATTTTAATATAACAAAAAAATTTTTAACAAATACTAACATCAAACTCTCGATTAAATAGTTCTAACAAAACGATCATTCTTAATCCTGAATCTGTTAATGTGAAAAGCAAATATCCGCATGCGATTACATAAAAATTCCTCATGGGAGCTATGGGATCTGTAGGAGCTTCATTATGATCTGTTTCATGCTTCTCAATATCTCGATTTGATGAGAGGTCAAGTTCATTATTATTTATTTCATTAGAAATTGGCATAGTGGGTTCATTTGACATTTTTTTTTTGTTTTTAAATTAATGATAATTATAATTCTTTTATTTGATTTATTTTTTTTTTTTAAAAAAAATGAAGCATACCAAAATTTATGACTTATTTATATTATATTCATTTATTTACTTTCCTGCCCTGGTTAGGATAATTTGCTTTTAGTGTAATTCATCTTTTGCGTATAAACGCTATTGGCTAAATTTGATTAAAAATTCACCAAATTAAGTAATTTGGAGATTGATCTGCTTGATCGACTCCGTCACCTTTATGATATGTATGAATTTCAAATTTGCTTCCAATTGATCATTGGCTGAATGGAATTTCAAATTGAAATCACTCTTCATTGCACGTGAAAAAGAGCGAGAACATTCGATGTTTCGCTCTGATAAATGAATAATGAATTATATTAGAATAATTTAACATTTTAATTTAATAAATCGAACAAAGACTGAATTTTTCACTATAGGCTCTACATTTTGTAATTTAAACTTTTGCATAAATATATATATTATTGTTATATATGTATATATATATATATAGTTCGTATGAAAAATTTTGTTTAAAAGAAAATATTTCACGAACAAAATCTACTAATGATATTACAACAACAATCGTTTTAAGATTATTTGGTGCAATAATTTTTAACCGTTTATTTAATAAAGCATTATCGTTATAAGCAATACCCGATTTTGAGACTTGTACAATAAAAAACGGAGATAATGAAGATAATCTCTTTTGTATTCATAAATGATATCGATGAAATCTTTAAATAAATCATAAAAATCATTTTGAAAATTAAATTGTAATAAGGTCAATACGATTCTAAAAGGTTTACAACTAATTAACTTAATTTCTTGTATTAAAAAAAAAAGAAAGTAATTTATGTAATAAATAAACTTGGCAATACCAAACAATTGGAACAAAACAATCTAAATAGAATATTTATCCAAAATTATCTGGATCATTCACATCGGTTACAATACTTCCTCACGTAAGTGGAATAAAGATCGGTTGAACAATGATGCCCGGGTTAATGAGCGAAGTGTTACCTGTTGAGTATTTCACTCGGACCAATTCATTTATTTTCAATTTTGTAGAATTTTTGCGATAACGATAATGTATGTATTTACAAATAAAAAATAATTTTTCTTTTTCAGACCCTTCATCACATTTAGGAAAAGGAATAAAATTCTTTTTTTTTTGTTCTTTTATTTGATAATTAATCAATAAAATAAAGAATCATCTTGAAGAAAAAAAATTAATCAATTGAGTCAGATAACGCTAGTTTATTGAAGGAAAAAAAATTTTCTCTTTGATAAATATTACATCGTAAATTTTAATACTAAATATTCCTAAAATAAAAATTTAAGATAAATCCCGTAATCAGATCGTCTGACCACTAACGAACTGTCCTTTATCGTTGACCCTATGATTCTTGGTATCATAACGCGAATGACTCTTATATGTTTAATGAGACCTTCACTATAAAACTTTTTATGAGGTCAACGATCACTGTATTGGATTACTAACATAGGTACTATTACGCCAGTCTACATCTATAAAATCGCTAACACTAATTGGACTATGGCACTTTAATATTCATGGACATGAGTCTGACTTTTAAATTATTTAAGGCTTTTTATATGGTTAATTGGAAGAGAAAAAACTGTTAACTTATTAACACAATAAATTAGATCGGAGGCATGATTGGATCGAAAGACCGAACGTCAACTTTTATCATTCTTTTTGTATTAAATAAATTCTGCTGCGATCGAAAATCAAATTTGACAAATTTTATTAACAGTGTATAAAGGTAAGATGGGTGTTGGAATAATGTTCATGAGGGACAGGTGAGCCAAAATCTTATTTATTTTGTACAAAGTTAACGAAATCTAACAGACCTTTTCAAAAGTGTGAAATCAAGAATGAAAAATACAGGGGAAATAAGTTTTACGGAACTTTCATATCAATTATTATAAGCAGACATCTATATCATTATCATCAATGCTAAATTCAAAAACTTTTTTATTTATGAACTATTTTTTGATTCATATAAGTGATTTTATCAGTCAGATAGATATTTTGGTTAAAAAAAATTTTGTGATATACAAAATTTAACATTTCAATAGAATTTTCTGAAAGATATCATCTAAAATTATTTTATAATTAGAAAAACTGCGTTCAACGTCAACTCCTGAAATAGGTAACCATATATAAACTAATCTATGCTTTGATACCATTTTGTAAAAAAAAAAAAAGATATAGAATTTTTATTCTTAAACCAAAACCACTTATAATAAAATTTATCACTATATAGCGATTTTATTATAAATTTCGCGATATTGCATATACCGAACTCTGGTTGTAAACCAGCTATAATTATTTATTCGCGATAACCGATAACACGATTTTTTCTCGTTATACCGATGGTTGTTATAAAAAAATGTGATTTTTTTCTTGATTTAACGATCGATCGTCATCATTATAAAATTTCACTTTAATATATCGAAATTATATTATAGTAAATATCAAATGTTAAATAAATTAATATAAATATAAATTGGAAGATTTTATTTCTTCTATTGATCATGTCTTCTGAAATAAAAGTAATACATTGTCTATGGGACAAAAGCAAGAACTTTGTCTCAAAAAAAATAAACAATCAGAATCTTCAATCCAATTATATAAATGAGTTTATTAGTTTCGATTAGATTTTTTTTTTTTGTTCCCAAATTTTACAAATAAGAAATAGTATAGCGTACAACGTGCAAATAATAAATAATAAACAAATAATAACTACATTGCATTTATTGCAAAAATTTGATTAACGAACTTTTATTTTTTTTTTATTATTTAAATCGATATATCAAGAAAAACTCGTAACGCTGTACATATAAGATCACGTGGAAAATAAATAAAAAATTGCGATGGCAACAAAATTGGTGTAACACACGATTTATCCAATATACTATATGATCTCGTTAAAAAAATCTCTTTTTTTAAAGAAATAAATATTGTCAATTCTATTAGCGCTTGTTTTACAATGTTTATATTGTGAAAGAAACTATCTATTACAACATGTCAATAGTTTCTAAATAAAAAGCCTACTTTTAAAAACACAGGAAGGGAAAAAGAAATAAATCTCTATTCTAGAATCTATAACCCACGAAAACATAGAAAAACTAGATTTTTCGTTCAAGTTCAATTTTTCTCTGTGTTGTTTGCCATAATATTATAACAAGATTAAAAAGAAAATTATTTAAAAAATACAAAACCACTTAAATAAAATTCTGAAAAGAAGAGTTTATGAAATATCATCATCAGATGATTAAGAAGGAATAAAATAGAAATATTTGAAGAAGATAGTATGGATGTACCATTTGAAGATACAATGGAGGAAACAGGAATAGAAATTGATAATTATTTGGATATTGAAGAATCCAAAGTACCATTAAAATTATAATTAAACAAGAAAGAGAAAGCAGTGCTATTAGTTTAAATCTTAATACAAACTTAATTGGATAAATGGATAGGATACAATAACTATATTTTTAGCTATAAACTGGGAAAAAGAAGCAGGTTGGAACTTAACAAATGAGAGGCAGTGATTTTCGTCACTAAAAAATGATTAAAAAAATTCAAAAAAGGTATTAAAATTATAATTTGTTATTTGACGCAATGACGCAATTATATATTTATTTGTAATATATACAGTAATATATAAAATCTTAATTAACTAGATTGATTTATTTGTGCGACTACCACC